ATTGATTTCTATTCGATTCCACTATGACTGGATAACTACTCTGTAAGGTTTGAATTCCTTCAAATTTGTTGAGACTTGGTAAAGATTCCTGTCTTCATTATCTGGGGCTGCTAGAGCACAAATACCATGCTACAAAGGAGTGACTTTAACTAATAGAAATTATTTTCTCACAGTTTAGAAGACTAGAAGTCCGAATTCAGGGCACTGGCTTTAGGGGAAAGCTTTCTCTCTCTTTCAAGTGTGGGGGAAGGTTTGTGTCTTTTTGCAGCTTCTGCTCCACACTTCATTGACTATCTGGTCTGACATCTTTCTTCCTCCATGTCTTCTTGCTTCTCAATACCTAATCTGCTCATTTTATATCTCGAATGTGATTGATTTGAAACACACCCTACACTGATATGGTCTCTACAAGTATAACCCACTGCCATTGAGTTGATTCTGACTCAAAGCAACCCCCATTGGGTTTCCAAGGCAGTAAATCTTTATGTAAAATGTCCCATTGTCTTCCTGCAGAGCAGCTGATAGGTTTGAACCATCAACCTTCTGGTTAACAGTCAAATGCCTTAGGGGATTAGGATTTACAACACTTACTTTGGGGATACAATTTAGTATATAAGAGTTTCCATAGACTTGATGCTCTGATATTTTAATATAACATTTATCATTTATCAGGCTGTTGAAATGGTCTCAGCTACATCCCTGCTAGCAGACAGTGTACTTCCTGGGTGTTCATATAAGGTTCAGGTGCGAGGTGGAAGACTGGATGGCCCAGGAATCTGGAGTGACTGGAGCACCCCTTATATCTTTACCACACAAGGTAAGTTTTATATTTTTAATATGGTAGCTTCTATTGTGAGGGTAATACATTTCCTGAATTTGCCTTTGGCATATTATAAGCATCTTAAGTTTTGTGACACTGAACCGAAAGGGGGGAAACAATATAAAATTGTACTTAAATTTTGAACAAGCTAATTTGTTAATGAAAACTCGCTAAAAATAAGTAAAATCTCCAAAGTTTGTGTTTCCCTAGTAGTATTTGTTTAAATATTTTTTCTTATTAAAAAGATAAAAGTTAGTATAAAGTTTCTCAATTAAAAAATTCAGATTACTACTTGTACTGTTATTCCCTTAATCATATAAACACAATAAAAATATTTATTTGGCATCAATTTCAAATATTAGTATTTTATTTCAATGTTATATTTTACATAATAAAATAATTCCTTTCACTCTGGGTGCTTCCTTTAGAGAAATTTCAATTTTCATCTTTTTAAAGTTATTTTTAAAATCAAACTAACTGTGTTTATTCCAATCTTCTCCCCTAAGATAAGGTGCTGTGCTTAAAATGGATGCTCAGGAGCCTTAGGATAATTCTTGCTCTGGTTGTGATTATAGGAAGATACCTAATGGTTCTTTGGCTGGTTGTCTGAGCTGTGAAATGGACAAAATTATTCTTGACCAAGCCCACTCAGAATGATTATACTATATGTAAAGATAGCAACTACTATTTAAAAAAAAAAACATTCAACATGTTTAATTAAGTAAGTTTATATATTGATTATTATCGTAAAACATTGGTAGTTCCAAAGCAGTTATCATTAGTGGTTTAAGAGCATTGGGACTTTGGAGTCTGACAGAAGTTTATAAAAGTTTTGGTGCCACAACTTAGCTAGAAAATTTTTTAAACCTTCTATGCCACAATTTCATCATCTATAAAATGAAGAAATTTTAACATGGATAAAAATGAAATAATGTATATTAAGGGCTTACTGTAATGCCTGTTCTATCATAAGCACCCAATAAATATTAGCTCTTATCATGGTTTATGAATCACAATCTCAGAGATTGCCATGATACATAATTAATTGCTTAGCACAGGAAGATTGTGAGAAGAGCTAAACAAAATACTAAACAACAAGACAATTCTGACTGGGAGTGAGGGACCTTGTGTGAACAGATTTAGAAGACATTAATTTCTCATCTCTATTCTATGGACAATTATTGAGTATTTACAGTGTATATAATATGATGCTGGCAATTCAGCTTTTGGGATGTTTCTTTTTTTAAGGAAGGCTAAACCTTTCATCTTTAATTATATATTATTGATTAATAGTTCTTAATGATTAATAGAGCAATAAGTAGTTATGAATTAATTAGGAGCACCAAATTTTACAGAATGTCCCATAGGGTATATCTTGGATTGAATTATATCCCCCTAAAATATGTGTCAACTTGGCTAGACCATGACTTCCAGTATTCTGTGGTTTGTCCTCCATTTTGTAATCTCATGTAATTGTCCTCTGTTTTGTGATATGTTGTAAATCCTAACCTGTATTATGTTAGTGACGCAAGATCAGTGTGGGGTGAGCCTTGAGTCACAGGCTTATGAGAGGGCCTGATTCAAATCACACCCTTACTTATATCACATCCTCACTTAAGTCATCACCCTTGTTCAAGTCAAAAGAGAGGGAGCTGACTATCACCAAGAACGTAGAGCCAGGAGCAGAGCACATCCTTTGGACCTGGAGTCCCTGCACTGAGAACCTCCTAGACCCAGTGGAATATTGATAACAAGACACATGGAGATCTTCAAGGAACAGCAGGCCCACAGATATTGAAAGGAGACAAAGATCTTCCTCTGATGTGTGTGTGTGTGTGTGTTTGTGCACGTGTGTGTGAGAGAGAGAGTGAGAGAGAGAACTTTTTCCTAGAGCCAGCACTCTGCATTTGGACTTCTAGCCTCCTAAACTGTGAGAAAGTACATTTCTGTTTGTTAAAGCCACCCATTTGTATATTTCTGTTTTAGCACCACTAGGTAAGTACAGGAGCTCTGGTAGCATAGTGCCTAAGGCACTTGACTGCTAACCAGACGGCTGGCGGTTCAAACCCACCAGCCACTCCTCGAAGGAAGGTTGGGCAATCTACTTCCATAGTGATATTGCCTCAGAAATCCAAGGAGTGGTCGCTATGAGTCGCATCCGACTCAATGGCACATAACAACAACAATGACAACTAAAGGGAGCTCTGGTGACATAGTGCCTAAGACATTTGACTGCTAACCAGAGGCTGGCAGTTCAAACCCACCAGCCACTCCTCAGAAAGAAAGTTGGGTAATCTACTTCGTAGACATACCACCTCAGAAACTCAAGAAGGGGTCGATATGAGTCAGATCTGACTCAATGGCAGTAATGACAGTGAGTTTGGCTTAGTTTTTTAGATGACTAAAACACAGTTTGGTACAGAGAGTGGGCTGCTGCTCTAACAAATACCTACAATGTGGAAGTGGTTTTGGAATTGCATAATAGGTGGAGGCTAGAAGAGTTTTAAGGCACCTAATAGTAAAAGTCTAGATTGCCTTAAAGAGACTGTTGGTAGAATTTTGCATGCTAAGGGAGTTCTGGTGGCACAGTGCCTAAGGCATTTGACTGCTAACCAGAAGGTTTGTAGTTCTAACCTACCAGCTGCTCTACAGAAGGAAGATGGGGCAATCTACTTCCGTAAAGATTTACTGCCTTGGAAACCCAATGGGAGTCCTATGGATCAAAATCAACTCAATGGCGGTGTTTTTTTTTTTTAAAGGCAATTCTAGTGAAGGGTCAGAAGGAAGTGAGGAGAGCTATAGAGAGAGTGTCTATCATCTTAGAGAAAACATATGGTGCCAGCAACAGCTTAGAGAGAGAATATGCCTTCCCCTAGAGCCAACACTCTGAATTTAGATTTCTAGCCTCCTACACTGTGAGGACATACATTTCTGATTGTAAAAGCCATTCACTTGTGGCATTACTGTTGTAGCAGCACTAGATTACTAAGACAGGAAGGCTTTTGTACAGTGGGATGGGGTGAGCTGGGGTGAGGGTAGAGGAAAGTAGAAGTCACAGTCTCTTCCCCCACACTGTGGCCTGTGACTTGCTTCCTTTATTTCACCTTTTGGTGAATTGCCTTCCACAATAAAATGGCTTCATTCTTAGTGTTGTTTTGTTTTTTTGTATTAATTAGATCTGGAAAAGGACCTTCTCCAAAGAAGTGGAGACTTATAAAATAATCAAATTTAGTTTTGTAAAATTTGCTAGGGTTCAAGAGTTATGCATTAAGATCTTCTAGAATAATGATCAGTAGCAATATTATATTCAGTTGGATTAAGATGAGAACTGTTAACTCAAAATAACATAATAGTGATTTGTGTTACATTTCACCTAGGAATTTGTTGTGGATTAATTTAGGTTTTCAGACTTTTGAATGGATGTATTTCTAGTTCTATTTTACTTCATAGAAAATACTTTATATAAAATAAATGCTTTTCTAATTCATGTTTTTAATATCTGTAGGATTAAATTTTCTTGATTTCTTACTATGTTTTATATTTTTGGGCTTTCATATAATATACAATCAAATTTACTAGTATATACTACAAAACACATTTACACAAATCCTTCTATATGCAAATATTTAGTGTTGTGTGCAAGAAGATGGTCAGTTTGTGTTTGGTAGAAAATAAAATTTGCCAATTTATTTGCTTGTGCAGTATTCAACAATATTACCATTAACAGTTAATCTTTTACTAATTCACCACTGAGACATCCCTCCAGTGTCTTCAAAACTCCCAAACAGAAAAATCTGAAAATCACTAACAAATTATCTAGACAGCTGTGGCAGTTATGTTTGTGTGTCAGCTTGGCTGGGCCTGGTTGAGTGGCTGGGCAACTGGTGGTAGTTATTCCCCATGATGAGACTGGCAGTCAACTCCATGGTGGGATCTACCACAAGCAGCTGAGTAGCTGCCTTTGGGATGTGGTCTGCTTCCTGTATTTAAGGAGAAGCCTTGGGAATGGTCTCTAGCCTATGGCATGCTTGAACCCTGCATGTAGCTGTGTCATTGTTCAGCAGCCTGCTATTTCTGCTGACCTTGGGACTTACAATGGACTTAAGTTAATGGCCTGCCATGTGGTTTGGTAACATTGGGACTGTGCCCTTTTTACTTGTCAACCTTGGGGCTTCTCAGCATCAGCAGTCAGCAGCCATCTGAGTGAAGAAACACCTCTAGCTCCAGTGGGCCAGGAGCAGGAGGCAGAGCTGGACTCATGGTTGAGGGGCTTTCACATAGCCCCTAGAGCCTAGCACTTTGAACTTGGACTTAAAGCCTCCAAATTGTAAGAATAAATTCCTGTTTGTCAAGGCCATCCCATTGGTGGTATATTCTTGTCAGAGTGGCACTAGGTAACCAGAATAACAGCAAATAAACTGCCAAAAGGCAGAATTTGTTGATTTAACATTGAATAAAGTTAAGTTTACTAACTTAACCAAGTTGGATAGCTTAGATGCCTCAGAGTGGTAATTTGTTGTTGTTGTTGTTTGCCATTGAGTCAGGCCTGACACATAACGACCCCTCCTTGGGTTTCCGAGGTGGTATCATCGCAGAAGTAGATTGCCCAGCCTTCCTTCTGAGGAGTGGCTGGCTGATTGCAAAGGGAAAGACGGAAACTTACCATGTAGAAAACCAACTGGTGACACCAAGAGTGGAGACAAAAGCTTCTACACACTAAAGTAGCTCATAGGTACATTTCACTATTACAGTATCATCTATTGTGACTATGACCATGGATCACAAAATGTGTCAAAATTCCTTATGAAATAAAAACAATACTTATTGTTAATAATAGACATTTAAAGAGTGTTTTTGTGTTTCAGGCAGTGTTCTAAGTGATTTACATATATTAAGGTATTTTATCTTTTCAACAATCCTTTGAGATTGAAAGGAGACAGGACCTTCCTCTATTCCTATTTCATAGGCAAGGAAATTGAGATAGGAAAGTTAAGTAA